GAAGAATAATGATTAAGTGGAAAAGATGCTTTGCATTAGATGTTGTCATTCAGCTGATATCTTAAAATTCAGCTGTATTTAAATCATGCACCGTGCATATTTTTCTGTCATTCCTACAGTTGCACAATTAGACTCCAATTATATACAAAATGATCTATTGTGCTTTCAATTTAGAAAATAACATTTCCAGAGTATTATCTAGGGTACCTGAGGATTTATCTATCTAACTGTCTTGAATTATACTTGGGCTTTATACTCAAGCATCTAGTCAGTAAAAACAATCTGATGTAGTCCCTCAATATAGTTTACTCTAGTAATGTTTTTTTTTTTCCTATTACTATCTTTTCTTTTTTTCATTCATCTTTTTCTTCTTCTCATTTAACAGAAATGCAAGTACACAAACCTGTTCTCACTAAGAATCATGAACAATGCTTTAAGCACGTTATAGTGACCAATGCTTTCATTACTTTCTAACCACCTATTCCAGGGGTGGGCAATTATTTCGAGTGGAGGGCCATTTACTGAGTTTTGGCACGACACCCCCTGGTTGCCATCTTGGGACCAGAAGTCCCACCCCCTAGCCCCCGACCTTTGCCACCAAAGTCCCTCCCCTTGCCCCTGGATGTACTCCTTTCAGCAAGGGGTTCTGCCATCTCGGAACCAGAAAACTATCAAATAATATTCTAAAAATCAAACATCTACAACATTCATTAATTCAATTTAAAAAAATATTTTTGTCCTGATTTACATGTATTTGTGTAGTGTACACAAAGGTGATCACACAATAGCTTAAAATTAAATCTTACTCTCGTATATTGTTGGGGAGTGGGGGGCAGGGGGATGTGTGGAAGCATGTGGGTATGTGTATGCATATGTGGGGTGTGGGTGGGTATGGGGTTTGTGGGGAATAGTGTGTGGGGGGAGGGTGGCTGGGGGTGTGAGGGTCTGTATGTATAGCAGTGTGAGGGGTGGGTGCATATATATCATGGGGTGTGCTTGTGGGACTCACCCTGTGAACACACACACACACACATACAGACACGCATACTGTGCCTCACTCACTCACTCTTCTTCCCTCATTGCTCTGTGTCCCTCTCCCCCTCCCTCATTGCATGTGCATGCACGCACGCGTGCACACACACACACACACACACACACACACACACACAAACTGGGTGGGGCCAGCCTTTCTTCTGAGTCCTGCTGGCTTCCCTTGGGTCCTACTGCCCCTGGCTCCTGTCACCTTTGACAGGCAGCCAGGAACAGATAAATATTAATTTTTCTACACTGTTTAGGTGCTCTGCAGGCTGGATAGAATGGCCTGGTGGGCCTGATCCAGCCTGCAGGCCATATTTTGCCCTCCCCAACCTATTCAATAGCCTTCCTACTATATTTCCACCATGTTTTATTTTTTTTTTTAAATGTTATGTTTATGGCAGCTTGAAAAAGAGTGTGAAAATGCCAGACTGACAGAAACCAAAGGCCTTTATTTGTACTCAAACTCAGCCTTGGCAAGATGTCTCAGTTTTTAGTACCCCCTCCATATGAGACGGTGGCACAGATTCCATTCTTGATCTAGCTGCTAATACCACTATTTATGAAAATCATTTGAAAGTATGACTTATTTAGCAAAGGCCTAATCAGGCAACAACTTGAAATCTCTTCTTGGACATTTCCAGCCATAGCCACACCAAACTCATACCAATGACCCAGAAGTCTTCATATACCAATCCTCCAAATCATCAAGTTATGCTGCTGCTTTTTGTTGTTGTTTTGCTTTGTTTTTTAATCTCATTTTCCTTTTTACATGCCTTTAATAACCCCCAAGTCAGCATCTTTCCTGAAGTGCTAAACTCATCTCCAAGACCAGACTGGCCTGCTCTTTCACTATAGGCATTTATACACATACATTTTCATGCTCTGACGCGTCAGAGATCCAGCATGTCAGAGCAGACTCAATTAACTGAATCTGCTTCGTACATAAGCTGGCGCACACTGCAGTGCATTGTGTTGTGTGCAGTATGTATAAGCGGCAAAATGCGTGTCAGTATGCAGAAAATGGCAGCAGTGAGCTTTTGAACTAAAACTCCTTTGATATGTTTTAGTTCAAAAGCATGCCACTGTCATTTTCTCAGCACTGATGTGCATTTCACCACTTATGTAACTGCATGCATCACTGCCCTGGGCACTTTTAAAAGCACCTGGTGCTGTGGTGCAAACATGTACAAATGCCCTATCTGTTTATCTGTAGTTTTGGTATGTCAATGGTGGGAAAAAACATTTCACTGCTGAGAACGTGACTACATGCTCATAACACCTGGTCATGGGGTATGTTTAACTATGCAAGCTTAGCACTGTCGCTGACTTCTGCAGAGGAGGCTGAGAAAAGAAAATATACAGATATATCTAAAAAAGAGAGACACCCATAGCTGAATAGATCTTAAAATGAGTCTTTGGTATAGCCCAGCTGTGAAGATCTAGAAATAGGACTATGTTTACGTCTTGCTACTTCTTACTGTAAAATCTAAGATCTGTCAGGCTGCTGTTTTTTACCATAAACTTTTTTCATTGCTCCTCTGTTTTTTGTTTCAGACACAAAGTACTCTCGCTGCTTTGGTGGCAAAGATATTCTCAATTAGGGTGGCTGGGGCACCATGGGGTGCCACCAGGTCTTTTGAAGGATGCCACAAAGTGTGAGAAGTTAAGCAAGATGTAAAGAGAGAAGCAAATACTTTAAGTAGATAAGCCAGGCTCAGGCTCACCTCTGCCTGGATGATCCCCCACCCTTACTACTCAGCCCCTGTATAAGGAGGTAAGCACTGTAGCTTATTAATTCGTTTTTGAAAGTAAATGCCACTCAACTCACAAGTTAGGGAGGGGCACCTCAAGTCTAGTGAGAGATGGTTCAAGTTCAAACAGTTTGAGAACTGCTACTCTAAGGTCTTTCACTGCCTATCCCCACCCAGCCTTTCAACTCAGTTGTGCATTTAACATCTCAGTTTCTCCAATGCAGGCAGACTTCATCACTTGTGCCTCTAAGATTGCTCTCAAGCTACTTATGTGCATGCAGGGAAAAATTTCCACAAAGGCTACTTCATTATGCTGCTTCAAATCCCTCTTTAAACTTCCTTTGTATGAGGCCTGCAAAAACTTGGTAATTGTTAGGCAGCTGCTCTGCCTTTACTTCTGCTTGTCAGGCTGACCAGTTTTGCCTCACTGCTCCCTTCTGCTCTTCCATCTATCATTCGCATACACATATCACCTTTCCTCTTACACTTAGATAGTGAAAGCTTAGGGGATGGCCTCTGTCCAGTTTCTGTATGACATCTGGCAAATGAGGCCCTGACCCATGAGAGGGGGGGTGCTCGGGCATTATGGTCATACAAAATTACCAGTTCTTAAAACTGTTACAATGCAAATTCTTGAACCCATGATTTCTAAACAGAGAACCACAAAACTATTAAAAACAAACAGACTTCAAATCTATAATGATGTTGCAAAGGGGGCAATAGATGAAGTACTTGGATAAAGAGGGGGTGTTAAGCTAGACCATTACTTTTTTTTGAAATGGAACTATCCAGTATATGAACACATTCATGTAATGAACTTTTCCCATAAAGTTATAGAGCTAGCCATTAATGAAAAAAAATTCATCTCCTTTTATATTAGTTAGCTTTAGCTGCCTGAACATTATTCAACAGAGTTGGCTATTCAAGAAAGCTATTTGGAAGGTGACTGGTGAATGCCTGTCAGTTCCTTTATGCGTTAGCAGTCACTGCCAGCACTTCCATATGAGGCTATGCAAGGCCACGGCAGCATAAATGCTAGATATAGAATATCTTGGAATCAGCCAGGTGACAGTTGCAACATGATCTCAGAGAAGCTACTTCTTCAAACAGCAAGGCAAAGAACCAGTATCGAATTGCTTCTAATTATGGGGCAGAGAACAGTGTATTTTGCATGTAATTAGCATACATTTTTGCAAACTGGGGATTCCTTATATTTAACAATTATAAATACAAACAGGTAAAAATATATAACAATAAAAAACATAAATATCTTCTCAACTTTATTTATATGGATGTTTATGGTGAACTCTACCTGCAATTTCTGAGATACAGATTCACACTCTGACATTAGCTGGGGTATAATTTCACCCTGTTTTTGAAGCTCCTCCAATTCCTGGAGAGAGAGAAAAAAAAGTAAAAAAGTTTTAGCGCACTTCAGTTAAAAAAAAAGAGTCTGTAAAATGACTTGTGAAAGTAGACCATATGCCACACAACCCGAATTAAAATACTTGTAAATAATATTTTTTCATTATAAAATACATGGTTAATTAATTTATTATGGGTAGAAAAGTAGTCAAGTTTGCACTGCATTTAATCCTTCCTTAAATACATGCTTTCAAGATGACAACACAATCTAGTTCCGCAAGATTAATGTAATTAGCTACATGCATAAATTGTCAATCTAAAATTACTAGAAATCTAGATATTCAATGAGACACACATCTGAAATGCAGTAAGGCTAAGAAAGATCTCTGGGTGTTAGACAGACAGGACATTAGACATGGTTTTGCTTGCATGGCAGGTAAAAAATATCAATATAGTTTTGGGCTACACTAGAACACAGAATGGGAAAGTAATAGATTGTCTTCTATGTAGCTCTGAGCAATCCCACCTGAGATACTGTTCACATCTTACACAAATGAAATGGACCAACAAAATGAGTTCAGAAAAAAGCAGTAAGATAATACAGAAGCAAGACTTACACAGAAAGTTTAAAAGGATTGGCGGCATAGGGACACACTTGAAGGGTGTAACTAGCCAGGACTACACAATACCATCTAGTATTTAGTGGTTATTATATGCAGCCTGATCTAATTTAAATCTGACATAGTATTGAGCAGTTAGGCTATGGCCACACATCATAAGCAGGTTTCTTGGATCTGAAAAAGAAACATTTGCATATTCTGCAGCAATTTTCCTGCTTTCTGCAAAAACTTGCCAAATATACCAACCTACCCCTAGATACAAAAAAAATCCTAGATAACTTCCTAGATAAAAGATCCTAATATTTCAAGACATCTCCAAAATTGTGTGTTCCTCTCCAACTTAAGGAACAGTCTTCCTTCAATCTGACTTCCTTTTATTTCCGCCTGAAATGAACAGAACTTTAGAGGTGCTTCTTTCATGGCGACATCTATGACTAGGCTCCATGCTGGCTTATCTAGCAAAGTCAGGGACAGACTACTTATGACATGAGCATTAGGAATTAGCTGATATAAGAGAGCAATTTGAAAGCAAGCTGACATACTGCTCAGAAGTAAATGGAATCTAAGCCTGCAACATCCAAGAGTCAACCAATTTTCAGTTTTATTTGGTGTCTCAAAAACATGAACCTTGAGGAAATAGGTGTCACAAAATAGGGGTTATTACATATGCATTACAGTAGAAAGGCTGGGAAGAAAGCATGACATTTTTTTTTGAAACATGGTGCTGAAAACTATATTATATTTATAACTGTACATCAAAATCCATTTCCTTAAACTATTTCCTTGTACCATCTTAAAAACCTTTAACTGCACTGCTTTTTAGGGGCACCAGCTGAGAAGCTATAATGACACCAGGCAAGCTTGACTACACCTGCTGTCTGCATTTGCTCAAGTCAGCACAGAACATTTGGTTGCTATCATGAAAAAAAAATGATTCAGTTATTCTTTCTCTGTATTCAAGGGCCAAGTCTTCAACATCATTCCCCTTGCCAAAATGAACACCTCTATGTTAAAATAAGAAATTTATTAACTCTGAATGAACATCAGCAACCTCCTTGGATTTTAGCATGAACAGCAATGCAATAAAGCCTAACACTTCGCTGTAAAACATCTTAAAGAGGAAGTACATTTCTTAACAGGGAGACTGTTCTTAACAGGGAAACAACCTTATT